CCCCAAAACCCCAAAACCCCAAAACCCCGCTAATGAGGCTGTAGGTATTTTTGTGAGATACTAAATTTAAGAATTTTTATTATTTTAATTGATCTAAATAGCATACATCAATGTCTGAGTTAAATTTCCCTTAAGTAGAACAGAGAAAAACAACTATGTTTTAGATTGCTCCTATCTTGTCAGGAAAAAGTAGAGATCGTTTGACAGCTTATCTCGATATTAAGTCTAATAAAAACCAGAATACTTATTAATCAGAAGATTCAATGAGTGCTTAATCTAATAGAAGAGAGATTTAATTTAGTAAATATCAAAATTTATAAAACATCTCATTAAATAACTCTCTTGAAAAAATTGGAATTGATGGAAAATTAAACGTATCAGGACTCATTGAATATAAGAAAAAGTCATTAGTCAGAAATATGAGGTCATTTAATACAGGTTAATCCTCATATGGCTTAGAGGCAGCATAGATTGTACTTTAATAAACAAGGAATAATAATCGAGAGATTAAAATAGAGCCTGTACTTATAAAAAGTCAGCTTCAATGAGCTAAGTTATAATCTCAAATTCAAATTGAGAATAAATTCTCATTACAAAACTTAAACATTAAAGGAGAGAGTAGATAGCATGGTGCTAATAATCCTTTAGATAGCCAGTTCTATTCTGCTAAATATCAATCAATGAACGATTAAGCTTCATCTAGACTTGATACTGCAAATCTATAATCACATGAAAATTTTAAAAATCCAAATCTAAGTCCAAGCATTTATAAGACTATGGATCTCGTGAAAGATAAATTGGATACTGAGATAACTTTGCCTAAAGAATATTAAGATATGGTTACATAGCTTCAAGAATATTAAAAACAGCTTATCAACAAATAATATCAATAAAATTACGGCTCTGGAATAGAAGGTATTTCTAATATTTAAAAGATTTATGTTATTAATAATGGTGAGCGTAATCAAGTTAAACTCCCATCATTAACTATGAACAAAAGTGTCAATGATGAAGTTATAAGTAGCTAGAATAAACTAACTGAGAGAAATTCTTCTCATTTAAGATTAGGAGGCTTTAAGAAAAGTCTTTCAATTATAGATGAATTACCAATAAAATCTATGAGGTTAATTCAGCAAGATAAAAAACGAACGAAAAGTGTTAGCCAAAAAGTATATATACCAATTAGCTTTAGAAGTAAAAAGCAATCTACCACCAATGAATAATACTAAGATAAATTTAGCTAAGTCTAAAGTGAACTAAATATAAGTCAAAATTCATCTATTTTTCAAACACCATCAAATGTCTCAAGCGATTAAATTATGCAACATTTCGTTTCAAAAACTTAGAGGCTACTCCCACAGAGCATGAGAGAGACATATTAACTGAAGAAAAAGGCATAAACTCATCAGAGAGAACTTATTGAGAAAATAAAAATTTGTGAACAATAAATTAAAAAGGCTTAGGAAAGGAATAAGAAGGCTAAGATAGCATTATAATTTTAGAAGAAAGAGATAGAATATTTGAATAATCAGAAACATTAAAATGAATCTAGGCAAAATTTGATAACTAACATATTATCTCATAGAGGTTCTTAGGCACTTATTGAAACGGCTTCTATCGATTAGATGTAGTCAGTTACTAATTTATCTCTACCAATTGACTCTTAATCCAGATTAAAATCCTCATCAAGTATTTTTGCTGGAATTGAATAGATGTAGTCCTAAGCATCTTTGTTGACTAATAATTCACTAAGGGCAATAAGTGTCTATGAAAATCTAATTGTCGAAGATCTATCGAAGGATTTAATGAAGGCTAAGCAAAAAGTAATAAATGCAACATTGAATAAAGATTCTATTTTACCATTAGTTGAGGCTTTGCGAGAAGAAAATAGATAGTTGAGAAAGACAGTTTAAAGATATCAAATAATGGCAAGAGAGTTGAATAATAAACTTTCGATCAATCTTGACAATGGAAATAGAATTTCATCGTTAGAAAGATCCTAGATGATGATTAAAGTATTAGAGGAAACTTTAGACATTGATAAAAAGCTTCAAATAGATGGCAGAACAAGGGATGGAAAGTTCATGAATATACAGGACTAAAATAACTCCTCATTTTAAATGACAATGAAGACTACTCCTATAAGAAGTCCTTCTGAATAAACAATGAATGAACCTTTTATAAAATCACTAAATCAAACTAATATAATTTAGGTGGATGTAAGATATTACAATTCTTAATATTTTTATATTAGAAAGCTTAAAATAGTTTGAATGTGACTAATATGAAGCATAAAGAACATTCATCATTAATGGAGGTAGGACAATTTGAGTAGCTAGTCTACTAAATGCATTACATAGTCAGAGATCATATGAAATTCTTCGATGCTATCATATTTTTTATTGAGTAAATTTTTCAGTATAATAAATGAATTAGTGTTTGCAAGGCCACTCTTGATTGTGAGAGCTGTGCTTTATTTGTTTGTGATCCTAAACTAGAGTTGGTTTATATAAATCCAATCAGAAAAGAAAGAGCCCATCTACTGAAGAGGACATTTATTGGTCCTGACTAGTATTACCTAATTTTTTCTTCAGAAAAGTAAGCACCTGAGGAATATCTTCCAAAAACTAGATAGGACTTTATAGATGGGATTTATAGAGATGATGCGGTTCTTATGGGCTCATTCGATTCCACTGGTAAATTAATATTTGGCATCCAAGTTATGAAACCAAATCAACATTAAGAATAATAGTAAAATTCAAGTCAACATCACCACAATAATGGCGAAAAAGAAAAAAAAAGATCTATAGCACCCAAAGTTTTTGGTAAATTACAAATACTTAAACTCAAATTCCTGGCTGAGTTTATTTCTAAAAAAGCAGAAAATATTATGCTTAGGTATGAGGCAACTGAAAAAGAAAAAAAGATTTTGTAGATCCTTAAATGCTGTGATTAGATTATTAAAAAGAGAACTCATAAGGATATTATTTTAACTATGAGGAGGGAGTTAGCAAATCTTTACGAGTTTGATTTATGCCAAGTTTTCCTCTATGATCCTTTAAGTAAGCTATAGCTTTTGAATTAAATATATAGATTTGGATTTATTTACAGTAGCTGAGTCTGACTCTAATGCTAAGGCTGATTATAATGTGGATACTATAATCAGATTTCCTACAAGTCTTGGTCTTACTGGAATAGCGTGTCTTGATAGGATACTTATATACTCTAATGATGTTGAGAATGATTTGCGATTCAATAGTGATTTAGATAATATAATGGGGATTAATAAAATAAAAAACATGATGGTTACTGAATTTAGTGCTGTTGAATCAGATTAAGGGAAAGAACAAGATCCAGTTGGAGTAATACAGCTCATTAATAAAAAAGGAATAGAACCATTAAATGAATTTGACTCGGCTATGGTAAATGCATTGAGATTATTTCTAGGAACTTGCGTTGATAACATCACTATTGTAAACTACTCAGTCAAAGTAACTTTGAGTGTGAGTTAGGAGCTTTCAGGAATTAATAAAACAATGACTGATCGTGAAGAAAAAACCTTAGATAGTAAAATGAATTTTGAGATCTTCATGAAGACACTAATACAAATGCAAAGATTCTTGGAGGTTTTATAAAAACCTCATCTATAAAATCCTTAAAAAAATGTGAAGTAATGAAATTGAAGTAATTTATGATGATGATATGATCATGGTAAGAATGAAATAAGATTTTATGAGAATATTGAAGTTAATGAATTTAAAGTTTAATTTTAATTTAATAAATGATTTAAATTAAAGCTCTAGAGAATAGTCAATTATATTTATTCTCATAATGTCTTAAAATTACTTGGATTATGATATTCCTTTTATGAACCGGAGAACTCCAAAACAGCTGTATAAATATATGAGGCAGCAATAGCACTATCCTCATCTATTGCAGAATTATTTCTAATCTACTAAGAAAGAAGAGGCTATTGATAGATTTAGGAATAACCCTCCACAAAATTGACAATCTTTGGTGATGATCCAATCATAGAAACCAAAAAATTAATCAATTGTGATATCCCAAGTTAAAGTAGAGGATTTTCAAAATCAAGAGCTGCCAGTATAATAGTAAGGCCAATAATATGAAAGCTTGACTAAAGATGAAGATCTAGAAATAGGGGAGATACCTTCCGAAAACACTGTTAAGGATGATACATATATCGGATCAGTTCTCAATGTAAATTTTAGAGTAAATGTCTAAGATAAAAAAGTAAATTTCCTAAGTCCAGAATAGCAGAAACCTATAAAAACTTCTTACAATGATTTGTTCATGAAGACATAGTATTTAGATTAAAATCATAACTACTCTCAATACAACACTACAAATCAAAAGTCATAGCAAACTTCTTACAACATGATTAACATGAGTGATATATCGAATGGGAAATAATCCTTTAGAACTAGGAATGTAGAACGAATGGCAGGAAATTAAAACCACAGAAGTCTCAATCTTAAAAACAGACAAAGCCCCTATCTATAAAATGGTAAAAAATCAAGCAATAAAACTAGTATCAATTATAGACCTCCGATTCGTTTAGATAGTTAGGGTTCGATGCAGACTTCTCCTTGAAAATATATCTAAATTGAGGCGGGATATAACAGGAATAACTCATTGTCGCTCTAGCCAATTAATAAAATTAACCTCGGTCAACTTGTAACTGCAGATTAGAATCACATAAATATTATTAGAAAATAAAAACCCACACCTATTAAGCATTTAAAACCTTAGCAGTAAACTAGAAATGACAATTTTAAATAGCCTTTGACTGTGAAGCATCCATTCTTTATTGAGATTATAAAAAGACTATAGAGAGAAAGCGGGATGACTTCATTGAGGAAAAAGATATTGAATTTACCAACCTAAGCTTTTAGTTAGAGTCCCTTTCAAAATTAAATTAACCAAAGAGCATCGAATTCTAGATCAAATCAAGGCTCAAGAGATAATAGATAAACAAACAATTTAACATATAATGAGAAAGCTATATACTCCCAGGTTTTTAACTCACCAACTGCAAATCAACTCTCTGCCGATGATTACTAATTTTCCGATAGCAACTCAAGAAATTTAAAGAGCTAGCAAAATAATGATTAGATTGGTGCATAGATTAAAATTAGAAAAAGAAATTTGCAATTTTTCCTGCAGCGATAATAGCAAGTCAAATAAATAACTCAGTAATAATTGATACTTTGATATAATTATTAAATATTGATGAATTTTATTACTTTAATCTTAAGTAAGATAACTAATAAAAAAACAACAATAAGAGTTCATGGGGTTTTGGGGTTTTGGGGTTTTGGGGTTTTGGGG